CAGTAGCAGTAGTAGTAGTAGTTGTTGTTGTTGTTGTTGTAGTAGTTGCAGTAGCAGCAGCAGCAGTAGTAGTAGTAGTAGTGGTAGTAGCAGTAGCAGTAGTAGTAGTAGTAGTAGCAGTAGCAGCAGCAGCAGTAGTAGTAGTAGTAGTAGCAGTAGCAGCAGCAGCAGTAGTAGTAGTGGTAGCAGTGGTAGTAGCACTAGAAATAGTAGTTACTGTGGTTGGTTTTGTGTGGTTGAGGGTTTTTGTTTGGTTTCTTTTGTTGTTGTTTTACTAGTTACGCACAGGTTCATAACTTTGTTGAAATATACATTACAGAGAATTAACTCTGAAACACTATCTGATAACGGCCACATCCATCGTATAATGGACACCACTATCTGACAACTCACACCACTATCTGATAATAGCCACCACAGTTTCATCAAGGGTGAAAAGGTCAGTAACCCACCTGCACTCCAGTGAACAGAACGTACAGTTGATAATGTCCTTTCATTTGTCACACACATTTCATATTTCTTCAACTGCCACGCACCAGACCGTCCCTTGACCTTTCCCCTAAAGCCTATATTTTATGAACGCTTCAATGTTTTGTCCGTTTTGAAATAATCGAACATGCCAGGTTTGCTCTCAAGGACTACTTGATCTAAAGTTATAATCACATTATGTTAAGATTTCCTAATATCAAAGTCTAATATCGGACACTTTCATGTCCGAAATGACCAACCATTATTGACCTAAGAGGAACATCTGTACCGCCCACGTCTGGTGCAGTGTCCACACGATTACATATACAGTAATTTGCGGGTTTTCTCTCTGTTCCTTTCAGAAAGGGACATACCTCGCCCTGATTATGTTCCTCGATTTGTATGCGCCATGTCCATCCTTGTTGATTATCCACTCAGTCGAGCGTCGAGTTTCTGTCAAGAATGCCAGTAATACTGGTAGTTAAGTAGCGTTCCTTGCCACGACGAAGGGTCGATTCTATCAAGAAATGAATACAATTAGTGAACCCGGTATCACGTGTGCTCCCCTGTGGTATTGACTCACTCACTGACTCGCGCACTCGAGTATAGGCCTACCGCACGAACGTAAAGTACCTAAGAAACCATTCAACTTAATAGGAATAATTAGGTCTCTTGATGGTGGTGGTACGCAATGAGATCTTAAATTACAAATGGGAATTGTCACATGTACAATATATGGAACTTCACTCAAACTTCATTTCAAATTATTACTAAACTCAGTTCAAGTATTCATGACTGTTCATTCTTAAGATTCACTGCCTCCATAGCAAAACAAGAGTAGTGTATCGATAATGACAATTGCTTCACCTGGTGCAGTGAGTATGTTGACATAGATCAGACAGGCGCAGCTGTGGCTATGATGTAAAGTTTCTGGCTATAATTGATTATTTAGGTGTTCACGTTATGCGGTCTGTCATCCATCTGTAGAAGGCGTGTCGTACTGGGCTGGCCTCGTCAGGTACTGTACGAGACTTGTCACGGATTCTCCAACACCAGCTGGCGCCTGAGATACAAGTACAAATATCTTGTTAAAACATATATACTCGTAAACCCATAAACCGCCAGGTTATCTTTCTCTGAGTAAGAAAATGAGTATGATATTATGCCATTTATTCTTAAGTGATAAGACCGCCTCCGTGGTGTTGTGGTTAGAGCGTCCGCCCGGAGAGCGGAAGGTCGCGGGTTCGATCGCCGACCGCGTCATACCAAAAGACGTTAAAATATGGTACTTGTTGGTCCCTGCCTGGCGCTCGGCATTAATGGGTATAACAAGGACTGGTCGGCTCGGAGTCAGTATAATGTGTCTGAGTGGGGTATTCATGCTTCACTGCGGCATGGTATCTCAGTGGGCTAGCACTATAAAACCATCTTCAGTCTGGGCTAGTACAAGCAGCCGCACATACACATACACACGCATGCACGTCGTCATACATGCCACTACCCCTACAGCTTATAACAACATAGTTTACGGTCTGTTGCACTGTTAATCCACTGCCTGTTACCTATTTCACACAATGGACTAATCCACTTAAGAGACATAACAACACACAACTAAAAGGTTGAGAGAATGATTTTAATGAAAAGTGATCATCATTTGTCATCATCAAGTTTTTAATAAGAATTAACAATAATTCGTCATCATGATTCTTTGATGGACATTAACAATTAATTGTTAACATTCAATGTTAACATAGTCATTTGTGTCAAGTGTTTCAGTCTATGAACATTCAGTGTTTCAATCTATCCCAGCTTAAGCAGATAGCCGACGGCGTCCAAGAACTGAAGAGGTGATTTCTGTCCAAGCTCAAGCTGCTCCTTGAGTCTACACAGGCGATTGTCAATCTCCCTGAAGACTCGCTTTCTGCTTCTTGTCGCAGCACCAAAGTCTATTTGTGAAATCTTCACCCTCTCAGCATGTTCAAATCTCCTAATGACTTCTACAAATCTGTATATGTTCGGATGCCTGTGTGGAATTTCACGGTTCAGTCGGTTGTGAAAACCTTCTAGATTGTTGTTTGTCCTCGGCCCAGTTGTCAGGTTGTGGTTCCACAGGGGAAGTAGAAATCTGGCTGCGTCGTCGACCCAGGTTGTCACGATGTAATCGTTGAAGTCGTCTTCTCTTGGGACGTCTGATGTTCTCGGCTGACTGCAAGGCCTGAATACTCTCTTGGGTGCCAAATGCCAGGATCTTGTCATCATCGCCGTCAGCAAACAGGAGGAATGGTCGACCATCTGCTGTCTGCGTCCAGGGATCTTGAAGGTCGACTTCTGATCTCGTCTGTGGTAAAACAGGAATCGTCTTCTGGTGGTGGCGGTACAGGGCGCTGCACATGGATGGAAAGGATGGCATCGTGCGTGTCTCATCATTGGTCAGGTTGGTGAGCTCGTCGTTGTAGATGGTGCGCATCTGTGTTGACTCCTCCCTGGCTCTCTTCCTCAGGTTGCTGACAAACCGGGCTTTCTGACTATCCTCTGGTGGGTGATTATGTTCTGTCGTATTCCTTACAACATTGCCAACAGTTGTAACTCTTCCTCTGCATGTAGGGGTAATGGGGGGTTACCCTATAAAACCAGCCGAAGTCTGGGCTAGTACAGGCAGCCGCAAATACACATACACACGCATGCACGTCGTCATATGAGCGAAATATTCTCAAGCACGACGTTAAACCCAATTTCACCTCACCTTAAGTGATAAAATGCCCGAGTACATCGTTTAAAGTCGCGTTTCAGACATTTTCAGGTTGTAATGAAACCGTGGCAGGTATACTGACGGACAATACTAGAATACACTTGAAACATTTCATTTCACCCAAAACTGTAAGCCCGATACCTTGGGTTATAGCACATACATCATATCAATAACTATCTCAAACGTGTAAGGCCGACAGTACTCCGGGATTTCGTCCCTCATTAACTGGCACACAGCGATAAGACTTGAATGCTGCTCCAAGGGGCATTAAACGTAACTAGCTCACTCACCCTTATTACAACGGCGTGACTTCACGCTATCCGGTATTGCATAATTACGTTCATAAACCACGTCATTTATTTTGGTGTTCAACATGAATGGAATCCCAGTGTCGAGTTACGCTCCTTAGGTGTCAGGATTCGCTCTGGCCTGTCAACCCTATCGCTGTTCCTTCTGCGTACTGGGTCACGCAATTCAAATGAAAATGGGAATGCACGATGCTTGTTAATCACGCCAGTACCCGGATCTTCAAGGTGCTGTATACAGAGAAATGAATGTGACTTCCCATCACCGTACCTGTTCTCGCAGGTAGACTTCAGGGATTTCCATCAGTCTGACGATTCGCTCGATTCTGTTCAATTCACTCACTAACTTGATGTTTGGGCATTATGTAAATCGTGTTTATTAAGCTCGAGTAAAAAGGTGCCACATATTTTCGAAACATATTTTCAATCATGAAGTTTATATAAGATATATCTATTACGACATTCCCAGTGACACACACACACACACACACACACACACATATATATATAATCAGACATATCATGTTTTTGGGTTGGTCAGCACCATGATGATGTTCCTGGGGATCTTGGAAATGGTAAAAATCTGCACTACTTAGGTTTTTTGCCTCGCCATGTTGTATGTGACCTTTTGTTCAGATGGACATTAAACCCAATTCACTCACTGACTCGCACTTTCCACGTTAAACGGATATCTCATGCTTAAACTGATAAAATCGCACACCTATAGACATGAACCTACCACAAACCTCCAGCTATGTGCTATATTTAAACGCTTACCTCAGAGCATGGTTACCAATTGCTTCCAAGTCAGATATATTTCCTAGAAGCTCTTGTCTTGATAGCTGAGGAGGCTGAATAGGTGGGTGGTAATGCGTATGGTACAACCATCGCTTCGCTTTGTTGTAACGTTGTACATATATTCCTCTGTCTCGGAAGAAAATTGTCATATGCAACCTAGGTTTGATAAACAGTCACTTCAATGTGCATGTGACTTCAAATCATTCGTGATAATTCAGCTCCTGTCTACAACACACCCATGAACATGCCTGGCATATACGGTTCCAGCCTTTTCACATTTTCTTCATTAGAGGTGTCTCTTGGAATACTTTCCATCTTAGGTGCGTGATTGTTGATGTTTTTAGAGCGACAATTAACGCTTACGTTTCAGTCGAAAAATGTTTAACGAACTGCGGTCAATGTCTCTTTGGAAAACGGTATTGATTAATGAATATGTCAAACTATGTATCTATTGTTTTTGTACTTAATGTATCACTATTTCGTTACATCGCATCTGGTAACATATATTCATATACCCCGAGGACATACTGCAGCTGCGAAAATATACTGTGCAGTTTTATGTAATGCTCATTACTACATATGTATTGACCGAGAGGAAGAACACCTTGTATGGATGCTTATGTGTGACCTCCTGAGTGGAGTCGTATTAGGTAAGGCATACAGATATCGAATGTGGTGTCCACTTTTTCAACACATTTATTCCGGAAATGAACTTACAAGCTGGACAAGAGTCCAATATAAAGAAAACATGTCAATCAGCACTCTAGTTGCGTTATTGCACTCTGACTGACCATGATCACCAATGACTGAGTTTGTGAGTGTGCACGGTAAACGCAATGACAAAAGTAAGCCAGTTTTGAGTGACGTTACGTCAAATCGTTCTTGGTCCAAATCTTGGCGATAACTGCTGCTGACCACAACCATCATTTGTGAGTGAATTAGATGTTTATGGTTTGATCAGTATACAAGTTATATCACAGCGTGAATCGTATTTGAGAGCGAACTTCGTCGATGTGCATTCGCTCGCTCACCCATGACACAGTGAGGTTACATGTACGGACGTAACATGCACAGGAAGACTTATTGAGAGTTGTGTCATGTGAATCAGCTAATGGTGTACTCGTACAGTCCATCAAATTTGTTCCCTTCTTGATCCGGTGTCCCAAACACACCCACAAACCCTTTTCCAGGTGCCTCAAAAGAGATATCAAACAAATCCCCAGACTTCTTTTCATGGACATCATTATTTACCATAATTCGTTTCAGATTCTTCGACCGCAGTCTCAGACGAACAGTTTGATTGGCTGCTAAAGACCCATGCATTGGTTCGAGAAGTACACATCCATATGTCTTCGCATGTGTGTAGACCTTTGGAAATGACTTCGTGTTTGCAGCATCGGATTTACTCTCAACAAGAAAGTCCGCAACAAGATCGAGGGATTGGGACGCTTTCCTGCCCTCATGCTTAGCGAAAAGGGACAGTTTGTAAAACCCAGCCTTGGGTAACCTTACTTTGATAACCAGCGTGTTGCCGCTGAAATACTCCAAAACATGATTGTCCAACTTGGACTCGGTGGCGAGTTGTTGGTACAGTTTCACGGACGTCGTTATAAACTTGCTTGTCTTCAGTTGCAGTTGCAGCTCACCATTCCTGGTAGTGAACAAGCTCTTGGAGAAGATATCATCCAGGAATCCGTACTCGTCTGCTTCTGGCCGAGCACCCCACAGTGTATCCTGAATGGGATATAACGCAGGTTCTGGAGGAGGGTTATTACATGTAATCATCCACTCACCAAGGTGATCATACTCCCTCTGATCAGCACCAGAGTTGCAATGCAAAATCAGTTTGTAAACTCCCTCCTTAGGTAAACTCCCAATGACTTCTATAAACCCGCGACCCAAGTATGGACAAATGTATTGACGGAGGTCCTTTTTGTTTGCGTCCTCCAGTCGAAATATTGCTTTTGGTTTTCTTCTTGTGTTTAACCTTAATTTGAATGTTCCATTTTTACTAACTATGACGTCATTGGACCTCACGTTGGACGCGAAGCCATACTTGTCGACGTCAACATCTCGCTTGACTCCCCATAACCCAGTGTGAAGAGGGCGAGGAAGCACCTTGTCGTGAACTGATCTGCAGTTGATCTTGTACGTGATTATTTGGGAATGAGCAACTTCATTGGAATCAACTGCTCTTCCGTAGAGTCTCAGGTCGTATTTTCCTGTCTTTGGAGGTGTCACGTCAATTGTAAATCTCTTCTGTCCTGTCTTCCTCAACACAACGTATGGCTCGTAGTCTGTTGGCGATTTGTCTGTCATATGACATGAGATATTTTGCAGATCCTTATGCCTTGTTTTAAACGTTATAGAACATTCTTTCTCCACCTCAATGGTGAGTTGTTTGTGCGAAGTTGGCACAAGGCCCCATATTATTCCAGTTGTGTCGACTCCAGCGCTTTTGTTAAACTCCTCCAGAGAGAGGGGTCTTTTTAGTAACTGCAACGTCTTGCTGTTGTCCATATCATGATCCATGTAAGGGAAATGTTTAACAGCAAAGTCTTTTGGATCTGTGAGAAAGTATATATCTTCATAACGCTTCTGGAATCTGTTGTGTTCATTAACGCTGCCAGCCCCCCAGGTCACGTCCACGGGGAGCCACTGTCCGCTAACATACACAATGTTCCAGGCATGCGCTGTTTCAGATTCCGGCGTGAAGCCGATCTCGGGGTTGTAGTTGCGTCCCTTGCTGAATCCTATCACCATTTTACAGGGGATTCCTACTTCACTGAAAATACAGAAAAATAGGGTTATTTTTGCAGAATTATTATAAGATACAACAAAGAGTTGAAAGAGATGCGAAATGACCAGGGTTAACTGCATGCTGAAAATGAAATTTCCGCGAGATAAGACATGAAATAAGACGTTCAAGCCCAGTGCGTGAAATCTAAAGTCGCAATGTAAGTGCAAAAATCGCGTTAAGCCCAATGTTACATCACCTCTACCAGAATCGAGTTACGTTGCTTAGGTATGTCCTGTTATCAGCAAGAGCCCGTTTTTTAGGCAGTTAACAAACATTTACAACCATAATCACTTGTGTTATAACCAGTCCCCATGCTGTGAATGAATATCTATATTTACCTGCAGAGAGACAGGAACAAGTTGGCATAACCTTCACAGACGCCCTGGCGTTTTTGTAACACACGTTCGGCGTCCTGGCGTCCGTATGTCTTCAAGCGTACACCAAAGGCATCGTAGCTGAAACAGTTTGAAGGTGAGGTGAACTGGGAATTTATCATGGCACGTATACAGCGACGTGCAAGTGTATGTGAGCGTGCATCTCTCTCTCTCTCTCTTTCTCTCTCTCTCTCTTTCTCTCTCTCTCTCTCTCGCTCTCTCTCTCTCTCTCTCTCTCTCTCTCTCTCTCTCGCTCCCTCTCTCTCGCTCTCTCTCTCTCTCTCTCTCGCTCTTTCTCTCTTCACTCTCTCTCTCTCGCTCTCTTTCGCTCTCTCTCTCACTCTCTCTCTCTCACTCTATCTCTCGCTCTCTCTCGCTCTCTCTCTCTCTCTCTCTCATTCTCTCTCTCTCTCTCTCTCTCTCTCTCTCTCTCCTGTCTCTCTCTCTCTCTCTCTCTCTCTCTCGCTCTCTCTCCTCTCTCTCTCTCTTACTCTCTCTCTCTCTCTCTCTCTCTCTCTCTCTCTCTCGCTCTCTCTCTCTCTCTCTCTCTCTCTCTCTACTCTCTCTCTCTCTCTCTCATTCTCTCTCTGTCTCTCTCTCTCTCTCTCTCTCTCTCTCTCTCTCTCTCTCTCTCTCTCTCTCTCTCTCTCTCTCTCTCTCTCTCTCTCTCTCTCTCCCTCTCTCTCTCTCTCTCTCTGTACACGCGTGTTTGGTAGTTTGTTGCATATTTTATTGGAATTGTATCAAGTAATTCTTTATAAGTATCCTATTACAGAATCCATACCGCCGTTATAAACGTTAATGAACTAATTTTCCGGGTTGTAGATAGTACTATACAATGTACATGGGTTGTATAGGTTGTCATGTTATAGTTAAACTCCTGCAAGTGTACCTGATATTCTCTGCGATCCACTTGTAGAAGGCTCGAACCTTCTCTATGTCATTCTTGGCCGGCTGTACTAGATACTGGGCGAGCTTCGTCACTGACACGCATGCGGTAACCGGTGCCTGTGGATACAATTATCATAAAAGTATCCGTCATGCTGAACTCAAATTCACTGTTGATGTTTGATAGTTTGAAAACACGTCATGTGGCAAAACATGCAGTGTGCTGATAATATATGTTTGGCATTTCGTCAGTTCAGCTTGTGTCTATTTTCATACCAATATGTTATTTTGATGTATTTGAATGTATCATTGTCCCATGGGGCGAATATAACTTAAAGTTCTACCTTTCATTGGCACCTTGCAAACGATTTTTGCTTGTTTGTACAACCTGTGACAGGAATAAACAATCCTCTTTCTCTCTCTCAGTGACTTAAATCGACAGGATGAACTTGCGCTACGAATGTGTAGCATAGGAGCGTGTCAGTCTCTGATTCTTAGGGAAAGTAGCCACCTTAGAGTATTCCTTGTCTCAGTCCAGTGACTGTGAAACACCGTTGGTTTGAATGTGTTGATTTTGTGCTCATTCGCTATTTTTTTACAGTTCAAACTATTTTCTGAACTTTTCAATACCGTTTCTAATCAGTTGTAGCATGTTTGAAGAAATTAAGGTGTGTGATAAGATGTAGATTAAATGTTTTGAATGTCATTTTTCTCTGGTCATAATCGAGTGAATTTTTAATGATCTTGCCATCACTTTTAATCATGTGGGGGTGTTTTAGGACGCGAATAGCTCATTGTTGATGATGCTAAAGGCAACATAAAATATTACTAACTCATTCACGTTGTGTATCATATTATTTAATAGCATAATGCATTTCTTGTCTGTATTTGTTTAAATAAAATATACGTATTTGTGTCAGAATGGAACTTACAAAGTAATTCACTAAAGCCTGTAGACAGGTTTTGCTATGTGTTATTTACCCTAAAAGAAGGTGGGGCGGTGGGGTAGCCTAGATATACTGGTTTAAACTTTCGCTTCGTCACGCCGAAGACCCGGGTTCGATTCTCCACATGGGTACAATGTGTGAAGCCCTTTTCTGGTGTCCCCGCCGTGATATTGCTGGAATGTTGCTAAAAGCGGCGTAAAACCATACTCTCCCACTCACTCACTCACTCACTCACTAAAATAAGCTATTCTGTAGTATCCTATTAATATTCGAGCTATACAGTCAGGATACAATACATCACCGAGCCTCTTCGGACAAGTAAGGTGTGTTGAAAGATCTTCACGTGGGGCCGGCTTAGCAACTCAATAGCACAATAGCACATACTGCAATATCGTCAAGCGTATTTACTATAATAAGATTCAGCAATAGCAAATACAAATCTGGTTTCCTGTATTTACGGTTTTGTAAAACCGTAACTGTTGTTTATCCTATTGTACAGTAAGTTACCCAGAAACGATCAGGAATTACTCAGGACAGAATCCGAACGATTGGGTAACTCCATGTTGACGTGAACCCGTCCCGCACTACCGCCACAGGTGAATTGATCCATTGCAAGCCTGTAGCGCACGCATGTGTTCCCTGCCTCTAGTCAAGGTGACCTATCCCGGACATATTTGTAAACAAGCTCGTCATCACGAAGCGTGACGTGAGTCTGAATGTATCAAAGACGCTATGAATGACTCCACGTTGAACCAGGGTGACAATGAGCCATCAAATCAATTATCCTTTCAATGCTGCAAACCGAAAGTAGGGAACTATCTCTATTGCGCATATGTAAATAACAATATGTAGATATATTGATAAGAGCGATATCAGGAAAAGCCAGCGCCCACGACAACTCACGATCTCGAAAGTTGGCCAGTTTTATACATCTAATGAGTCAAATGTTTTTCAACTGTGACCATTGACACATAACCATCGACCCCGATGACCTTTACTCAGTGTACAAGGTACAGAAAGTACACAGGCAGTGTATAGCGAGAGGTCGCACGCACAGCTCAGGTATATTTAGAACACGGTGATACTGCTTACTCAAAAACTATACAAAAAGATTGGGCAATTGGGCAATAAATAATTTGACTATCCATAGGACTTGGTTTTCCTTCATCTTTACAACTTCTAAAATGCCTCTCAAAGAAACAATTAGGCAGTTATGCATCTATCACAATTGAACGCACGGATGTTTTGTCAAATACAACACATTGGTCAAGTGTTCATAGTATACCCTGTGACGGTTTGATATGGTAATAACATTGTAGACTCGTACCTTCAGGGCATGGGTGTCTATCGCTTCAAATGTGGCCAGTAGAAGCTTCTTTCTTGATTTTGAAGGTGGTCGCACTGGCGGAGGTGATTTAACTGAAGATGAACCCTCCGTGTATCGTCCAGTTTTCGAATGTTTCACCCCCATGTTGTTACGTAGCTGGACAAATCTAGATCTACCTGTACGGTACGAGATCCCAATACAGGTAGTCAACTCGACACAGTGTTAATATCACTTTATGTGCTGTGGTCTATTTATAGCACAGGCGACATGTGTGTTTCTACGACGAAACTAAATCGTTTCAACGTCAGCTGTATTTAAAAAAAAAGTACCGTACTCGTGATCACCGGGTGTTTGAAAAGGCTTACATCACCCAGTTTGTCAGTGAGATAATGGAACGCAGTTGGAGGACATTTCCAAATCTGACGCATTATTTCTAATTTGTTTGTAAGGTGAAACATTTACTTGCCTGTGCACTATGACGTGTGCCACCGATGAGGAAGGTTACGATCGCCTTATAGCGAATACCTGGTAATACTGATTCATTAACACTCGCTTGTAATATAGTCAAAGCAGTGTAATGGACTTGCTTTTAGCAGTAATTTTTTTTTCATGGTTATGGAAAATAATAATAATAATAATAATAATAATAATTGATTTATAGAGCGCCTATTTCCAAAGGATATTTCTCAATGGCGCTATAAAGAGAAAAGATTGTAGACAATGTCTATGAGTTTGAACAGATGAGTTTTGAGGGCAGTTTTGAAAGCGTCAGCAGATTCTATTTCTTTTAGGGCGAGTGGTAGAATGATCCCATGGCTGCCAACGATTTTGTCGTTTCTATTCATATATGTCATTCAGCTGTAGGTTTATACAGGCTATGGTGTATGGGTTCCCGGTATACGGTGCATTTTGTTGGTATTGAAACAGTATGGGAGATAAAGCAGGGACCAAGATGACACAGGACGTTAACAGCTGTTGTCATTGCCGTCATACAGCCTTATACGATTACCATACAAAGCGGCGTTAGACCAAACATACTCACTCACTCGGTCTTTGCCTATGTGGACCGCCTCCGTGGTGTAGTGGTTAGAGCGTCCGCCCCGAGAGCGGAAGGTCGCGTGTTCGATCCCCGACCGCGTCAAACCAAAAGACGTTAAAATATGGTACTTGTTGGTCCCTGCCTGGCGCTCGGCAGTAATGGGTACAACAAGGACTGGTCGGCTCGAAGTCAGTATAATGTGTCTGAGTGGATAGTCATGCTTCACTGCGGCATGGTATCTCAGTGGGCTAGCACTATAAAACCAGCTTCAGTCTGGGCTAGTACAAGCAGCCGCACATATACATACACACGCATGCACGTCGTCATATTAGCGAAATATTCTCAAGCACGACGTTAAACCCAATTTCACCTCACCTCACCTAAATCACCTCTTGTAATTAATGACTGATCATGGTGTTAGTGATGTATTCAAATGGTTACATCAACACACATTGTCACTGGTCAGATCTACCGAGACTCTCCACAGAGATACATCAACACACGGTGTCACTGATTAGTTCTAACCGAGACTCCCCACAGGGTTACATCAACACACGGTGTCACTGGTCAGATCTACCGAGACTCTCCACAGAGATACATCAACACACGGTGTCACTGATTAGTTCTAACCGAGACTCCCCACAGGGTTACATCAACACACGGTGTCACTGGTCAGATCTACCGAGACTCTCCACAGAGACATCAACACACGGTGTCACTGATTAGTTCTAACCGAGACTCCCCACAGGGTTACATCAACACACGGTGTCACTGGTCAGATCTACCGAGACTCTCCACAGAGATACATCAACACACGGTGTCACTGATTAGTTCTAACCGAGACTCCCCACAGGGTTACATCAACACACGGTGTCACTGGTCAGATCTACCGAGACTCTCCACAGAGATACATCAACACACGGTGTCACTGATTAGTTCTAACCGTGACTCCCTACAGGGTTACATCAACATACGTTGTCACTGGTCAGTTCTAACCGAGACTCCCTGCAGGGTTACATCAACACACGTTGTCACTGGTCAGTTGTAACCGAGACTCCCTGCAGGGTTACATCAACACACGTTGTCACTGGTCAGTTGTAACCGAGACTCCCTGCAGGGTTACATCAACACACGTTGTCACTGGTCAGTTGTAACCGAGACTCCCAACAGGGTTACATCAACACACGTTGTCACTGATCAGTTCACCCGAGCTGAGGTATATAAATATTTCATCCCGAACAGCACGTTTGACGAGAGAACTGAACTGCTGGCCGCCAATAAGTTAGAATTTATAAACTTGAACAGAACGTTGCCAGGTTGAAAACACACTCCAAATCACTGCAAGCCTAAGGTACAATACACCCAATGAGACCCATATAAATGCATCACCATCGAATAGCCGTTTATGTTCATTCTTAGTCAAACATCTGTGTTTACTCTCTTCAGTCCTACCAGAAGTTGAAGATGTTTTAGTTTTACCAGTCGGAAGCCAAATGATATCCCTCAGAAATCTGTTCTGAATTTATGACACTTCATTCGATTGGCCGACCTTTATTGATTCCTACCTGGATACCCCTCTTTGTATGCATTAGATCCCAAAATAACTTTTGATAGTAATTGCATGTAATACGTGCATTATGCGGACCTTCAGTTCAGGGTAATTTGAGGTAAGAAACTTGCTGGACGTGAGTTCGGTGATATTTGACAAACAAAATTACATGTCGCCCGCCACACAATACATTGTTGCGTAGTGTATTTGGAAATTAATAATCTTAAAGTATTAACCCCAAGTGATATTCGGTTTTGCAGGCGTAGCTGAAAATATATATGACTTGTATCAAATGTATATATGTATAAACGCTATTCTAAACATACACTTCGTACATATACACACACATACACCCATACAAACACACACACACCTCCTAAGAATATCCAATGTCTTGTCCCTTGGGATGCACCAGCTGTATGTTCATAGTGGGCAACCATGTCGTGTTTTAGGGTGGCGGCTGCGGAGGTTACATGGGCAAAGGTTGGGGAGGGGAAGTACTATCCATACACAGTTACATCGTATTTAGTTTCTGTGTAGCCCATAGCTGGTTCACGTTTTTACAGATTTTATCAATTTTTGACAAGACATTTCTGTAACATTTATTTACTCAATGTTCAATACATATTCAGGATGACTTCGTCGTTGTGTGTTAACCTCATAGGCTAGATAAAGTGGTAAATGTCACCATGTCGTCCTGGGATAAGGCAGTATTGTGTTACCTCACACAGTTTACGTAAAGATGACAAATATCATTTCCGTTGCATGGTACCTTTAAAACAAGAACGATGTAAAGGAAAACACTTCACAACATTCTGCACTTTCCGTTTTTCAAAACACTCTTTAGGTTTATATAGGTAAGTGAATATTAGGCCAAACAATTTGTTAAACAATTTGTTAACGTGCAAAGTTAGATATTCGCCAGGTCCCATGCGTCTGAAATTCCAGAAAAAATGTTCCTTTGTGAAAACGTATACATGCAGAAATGGGGCTTTGAAAGTATGCTCGAAAAACACTTTTTCAACACTCAACACAGCCAATATAACCTATATTGGTGTGTTTATTGCGTACTTGTTTCGGAGGGTAAGGAAAGGTAATGTTATCTATGACATGGCAACCAGCTGCAGCTTGAACACACTGTTACAAACAACACTACTTCCTGGTCAACCCGCGCTTGTGTACCCGTCAAGATTAGATATGTCGTTGTGTATGAACCCGTCAGCCATGCGTGGGAGCAGTCTACAAACACAGGGCGGTCTGCCCTGGTTACTCACGACAACATTGAGCATACAATGAGATAGCGGCGGTGCAAACAATGCCAATCTCGCCAGATCTCTGATGAAAGGCGTTGAAATTCATAGTCATATTGAAATCATTGCTTTGAAATTATGGATTCAAATAGACGCATATCAAAGTACACTGTACGATCACAGGTTATAAATAGACCAGACAAGGAGGCACTACTATTACAAGAAACAGACAACTACTCCTGACATGTTTCAATATCTAGTGAGTGAGTGAGTGAGTTTAGGTTTACGCCTCACTCAGCACTATTCCAGCTATATGGCGGTGGTCTGTAAAAAAATCGAGTCTGGACAAGATAATCCAGTGATCAACAGCATGAACATCGATCTACGCAATTGAGCAATATCTAGTGAACAATCAGCTGGAGCTTGAATTTCCAGCCAAATAACAGTTGTAAATGTGTCACCCCCAATGTATGGGAGATTTATGACACTCCGCTATTATACAGCTACCACCACCTAGAGGTAAAGATATCTCCACTAGTTATAACACAATCCCCACTGCACTGATAATGCAACATGTGACAGCTTAGGCAATACGACGGGCTCGGGGACAGATAAGCGCGTCAGTAATGTTGCTTAGCGATTATAAACATAAATAGAACAGCTGTTAGTGTGCAGGTGACGATCCATGAAGGTAGGCTTATATTGTCTTTAATTTAGGTTTTAAATACAAAAACTAGAAAACACCATTTTCATGTTTATTGAGACGTGATATTGGTGTCAGTGTCACATGACGGATCTGGTTAATGGATGACACGTTCAAATTCTAACACAAATAGTCACGAATATAAGGGGTGTTGTACTCCGTAAAATAGCCCAACTTTCATACATTGTCATTAGTTTAATGCGCGGAAAGGTGACATGTACTATATGAAAGTGACATTGTCACTTTGGAGCTAATTTTGTGTGTGAAACTGGATTTGTCTCAGTGATTGTAACCGTGAGGGTCAAGTTATTGTAATTGTAATTACCACCCGATCCCACCCGGTCCTGTAACTCGGCGATCAAGGGGTTGCTGAAGATGTTTTATATCTAGTATCAAACAAGTGTTTGTTGTACGGACATTACAGGGACCATGTCATTAGTAAACCTGTGATTTAATGCTATTTCGCCTGTCTTCCATAGGTTCGGGCAAACATTTCAAGGTGTTGCTATGTGGCTACATATTGCCATACTGATCAAAACACCAGAAGGTAATGTGAAACGAAATTCTCATAACTTGTTTGAGTGGCATTTTAGAAGTTGAGACGTACAATATGGAACAAGTTTTTATGGATAACAACTTCTTTATTTCGTGAGTGCGACGTTTCGATACAGATTCTTGTACCGTTGTCTTGCTTGACAACGGTACAAGAATCTGTATCGAAACGTCGCACTCACGAAATAAAGAAGTTGTTATCCATAAAAAACTTGTTCCATATTGAAATTCTCATGTTGGTTGGGTTTTTGTTTCATTCATGACACAGAGATGGGAAGCAGTAGCTCAATTTCTTATCACCGTGACGTCGTCGGAGACACTGTTGGGACAGTTCAGTCTATGTCTGGACATGACACAGACCCTCCTATCAAACCCCCCACGAAGAGACGTTCCGACGTCGTTCCCCCCTGTGTCTGAGTTGGAATATATCGACCTGCATGCCTCGGGGGTTTGTATATTTTTAACATGTGTAAATACAATATACAATATACAACAAAAGTGAATGAGCTAGTGAGTGCCTAATGCCGCTTTGCGTAAGACCCTCTGTAAAACATCGAATAGTGTTTGGTATCAAGAGTATTGTTTTACACGGTTGGAATCCGATGATCAACATGACTGAATTGTATGCTGAAGACCAGTTTCTTTTTCTTTTTTCTAACCCCAAAAAAAACAAACCAAAACCAACAAAAAACACAAAACAAACAAAACAAAACAAAAACAACATTCATTTTGTTCCTGTCAGTTGATGCAGTCCGCAGTGGATTATTACATCCCGTTCTCAAGAAAAACAAAGGATATACAATGTGGATGAAAAAACTATTATCATGTCTTGTGTAACTCATGACGTATGTAGGCCACTGGAGACCACCTGTAATCCTGATCTTTTTACGGGTTGCTCCGCCGTCAAACGCATTTCAAACGCATATATTTGGGTATATACCCTCGAGGTGGGAGTATAAAAAGGCACAAGTGCCCTGATTGTGAATGTTTACCCCATGATTCAGTTGACGTGCATAGTATATATATCATCATCATTATCATCATCTTTGTTATTGCAACTCCTACAGGCCCCCCAAGATGTGACATCCTCCGGTTCCTTACTAGCTCACTACCTTGTGAAGCCAGCCCTGAACGACGTAGGGAGAGTCCGAGCATTTTACATGTGGATCACAAGCAACATCAGGTAACAGATATATTTAGTGATGTGCGTTGAGAATGTTAAGTATAAACCCACGTGTATCAACCCGTCAGGTAATTGTGTACTTGTGGCACTGTTGAAGGAAGGAGCCTGTAAACGGCGATCTGGTGGTAGTCCAGGGCACGAACAGTTTCGGTGTGAGGTACCAGTCATTTGATTCACTCGTTCATGACATTATCGCTTTATTTTGGTGCACTCCCTTCACATACACTCCGCGCGCACGCACACACACATGGGGAGTTAGAAAAGAAAGGGGGAGAGTGAGTGAGTGAGTATGGTTTTACGCCGCTTTTAGCAATATTCCAGCAATATCACAGCGGGGGACACCAGAAATGGGCTTCACACATTGTACCCATTTGGGGAATCAAACCCGGGTCTTCGGCGAAAGGGGGAGAGATGGAGAGACTGAGAGTGTCTCGTTTGGTTAGTTTTGGTACATTTTACGAACAGGCTAACTCGGGCAAAAACCTGCCTGTTAACCCAGTTCACAAGCAATTTGACAAAATCTTAAAGTTCTAGGCAGTGTTACATATGATGTGTTCTTCAACTGTTTTGAACAAGAAAATATGCCAAATATTGTAATATGGTTTAGACATATGAAGACTGGAACAGCGGAATTTGGTCGAAAAGGTACAGTTGTATGCTTGTAAATATATCTCGGGGTAATGTCAGGCATGAAAAATGCAATGGTATATGGGCAATGTGGCAGAGTGTCTAAGTATATGTTAAGTCAGCAAAGGGCGGTAAAATACTGGTTGGAAATACTTATGGTGCCATCATGTGCATGATGCCCAAGAAAATGTTATGATATAGTGCTCCCATATGACAGTCATGGAAAATACAATTGGGCAAAAATACTAAAAGAGTGTTTAACAAATGTGGATATGGGTAATTTTAATTTGGTTCCAGCAAAATGTAGACATGCCTAAGACTTTTTAATGCCGCATTGATGGGCCATGAAAGACATGGAAAGACACGTGCTAGTAATTTTCGTCCACGTCCGGGTTTGCGGTTGATACGTCTTTCGACGGGCATTTTCTAAGTTTGTTGACAGCATAGTCGACAGTGAGCAAACATGTGATAATCACGTGACATGCTTTGATGTCGTCTGCTATAGGCAGATGGTATATCTGCAGTAAAGCAGTATAAAATTGTGTTTATATTTGGTTTCAGCTATGATGCTGCAGGCTTTCAAAGTGACAGTATCGGCCCTCAGGATGCTGGAACAGTTCTCAGACACAGAACAGGCGTCTGTGAAGGTTTCGCCACACTGTTCAAAGAGCTCTGTAGGTATGTTTTGCATATCCGTGAAGACCCGGGCCTGAACTGGTCTTGATCAACCCTAGCTTGTCGTAAGAAACATGGAACAGGGTTGGGTGGTTTAATTTGTTCTAACACTGAAAATCCACAGAAGGCAACCAGTTGCTCATGTCATCAATTTGTGATTTACGAGATTGAAACTTTCCTTATCGTCTTTTTTTACACTACTATACGAATGTGGAACAAAGTTCCCATAGAAATAAGAAATATAGATTCTTTAGTAGGGTTTAAATTGAAAATTCAAAATAAAATAAATGCAGCCCCACCTTTCTTTTGGTCTGGTACAAGAAAACTGAACATTATTCACACAAAACTAAGGTACAATACAAGTCCGCTTAATTACGATTTATTCAGAATTAATTTCAGATCAGATGCTTCTTGTACTTGTGGTTGTTCTTGTGAAAATTCATGGCATTATCTTTTAGAATGTTCTTTGTACACAACGCAGCGTAAAGATTTGTTTGCAAATGTAAATACTGTCGTTAAACATCGCATACCCATTAATCTAGATTTATTGTTATTTGGTCATGTTACACTATCACTATATGAAAATGAATTATTATTTGAACATGTTCATAGATATATTAAGCTCACTGACAGAATTTTGGAGGTTTAATCTTGTAGATACTATACACATCCTCTTTAAATACCTTGTACATTCCTTCCACAAATCCCTGTTGTCAATGTTTTTTATATTGTAAATATGACATATGTAACTTCTGGGAAAGGGCGTTCCGAAGTTGGATAACTTGTGCCCAATCCATTTCATTTTCGAAAAACATATGTTTAAAGTATTTGTGACATCATGAGCAATGGCGACGTCATAACATATTGCTGTCCACAACGCAACATTGTGACGTAAACAAATTCAGTTGACCTATCAGCTAAAAGTTAAAATGCACATGATGTTTCGTTGAGAAGGACTCAGGGGAAATCTGTAGCTATTTACCGATCAAATAGTAGTAGTACTCGATCATTCTGGTTATACAATGTGTCTCCAGCTGAACGCCTTTTCATTTCTTTGTTTCCAGGGAGGTGCACATTCCTTGTAAAAAGATATCAGGTTTTGCTAAATGCTTTGGACATCACCCAGGACATATATATACAGCTGACGAAGAAAGCAATCATACCTGGAACATTGTCTTCGTGAGCGGCGACTGGTGGCCGATTGAGGTCACATGGGGAGCTGGACCAATCGACAAGAACTATCAATTCGTACGCCAGCACGAGGAACTACATTTTTTGATGGATCCAAATCTGTTTGTAATAAAACATTATCCGTTCATGAAAAACAGTCTCTCCAACAGTGCTCTGTATCAGTTACTAAGGAAACCAATAAACCTGGAGGAATTTTCAAAAGCTGCAGTTCTCCACAATAGAGGCATTGAATGGGGATTTGAGTCAACAACGCACATACACCAAGTTGTGGATGTGGATGTGTCATGTGAAATAACAGCACGATGTACTAGAACTAAACTTGAACGTATGATGTGTTACCTCGATGAAGAAAACACAGGAAAGGATTTCTTCAACTATGTGTTGATCAGAAAGAAAGATAACGGGGATTTCACAATCAAGGTCACACCTCCAAGACCGGGCACCTACACATTAAAAATATTTGGACAAACAGATTCTAACGATGACTCGTATCACCCACTGACATCGTTTTTTCTTTGCTGTAAATCGTCCGATAGATCAGTCAGGCCCTATCCAAAGCATGAAGGCCTTTGGGGAATACTGTCCAATGTAAGCGCATATGGGTTTCAGTCAGATATGAACAAAACCGATGTAGTGACAACAAAGAATGGAGCTGTCGAGTTGACATTCCAAGCCAGACCTGAAGCTGACTTGACAGTTCGTCTGAAAGGTGCAGACGACACTGGAAATCTGGACAGGTTCATTATGGCGCACAGGGAATATGGCCAGGTTGTTATAAAATGTCGACTTCCCAAGGCCGGATATTATTCTATTCTTCTGTTTGCCAGAAACCTGACGACATTGGCTCCTAAGCAGAAACACATCGGGAGTATTCTGATACAGTGTATGGAAGCCCATTCTGACGTCAGACCTTATCCCGTTAACCCTCACCCATGGGGATTGATGGCCATGGCGCTAGAGTATGGTTTTACCAAAGATGCCCTGCTTAACAGCATATTCTTTACAATGGACGGTGAAGTTGAAATCAACCTTGAAACCAACCGGAAGATTAATGTGTCACTGGAAGTACTTCCGTCTGAAAAGACAACACATAACACACAAGCATCTGTTTCCGAAACGGATTCGTCTGTGAATATCCGTGCACAGTTTTCGAGCCAAGGTTACTATGGGATAAAATTATTTGCAAACACTTCACACCAAGAGGAACATGAACAAGTTTACCTTGGCGCCATTCTTGTCAACAGCTTGAAGACAAATAAGCCTTTCCTGTGAAAACGTTTCATACAGTAATTGGAGGAAGAAGGACTGAGCAGAATTGACTCAATCGATATCTTGTACACTGTTCCATCCTTAGTGGTCAACAGAAGCATATTTTAGTTCAAGTAATCACATCACACCGATGTCCATATCAGTTAGAATCGACTTAAGCTGACCATGTACCAGGTGCATAGACATTACGAAACTAATGTCACATAATCAGACCTGTCCCGTTATGTCGCTATGGGTATGTTATAAGAAACTGAGTAGTACGTTAGTGCAATTATACCTGGTGTCATCTGCGACATTCTGTGAGCAACATAGTGAGCTAAATCCCTACCGAATGGATGATATGTTGAATCAGACATAAAATTGATAAACGACAATAGTTCAGGTGGTGGGTGCCGCTATAACAAGCAGGTCTTGCGATACCCTTAATCCTGCATCAACATCGAAACATTGTAGTCACGTGTTGGCACTATCTAGTTTGGCAATGGCGTTCGAAGAGGGTAGTTGGATGTGGCACTTCGTTCGACACTTTGAGTCCTTACAATGTCTCAACCTTCGATCCAGCCTCACACTGAAGCTAATGTGGTACATGCGCTGTCTCATAAGTCATTTTTTCCTTTGTTCGAAATGTGCCTAGGTTCATCCAGCAGTAAACGGGTATCTGGTACCCATCCAGTTTCGAACAAGCAGCTTTGATTGTATACTCACAACGGACATGAAAATAAAATCGAGCGTCCGTAGATCTAACACTTTTGGTGTAGGGCATTAAACATGCCTGTGTGTGGTGTACAGATATAACGCAATATATCTGGTGTTATTATTATTTTCCTTAGGTAGAATCATGTCCACTGTTATTCTCATAGCAATCCAAGTCCCTTAAATCGTGACAGCCTATTTGTGGCCTGTCCTTTCTATGCCGGGTGAATGAAGCACGGGCCGACATGAGGATAACTCGAATCTTTTACAGGTGCATCACAAGCAACATCAGGAAATAACATACTTCTGCGTGGTAACTTCATATTTCAGCGCATTCAGAATTCTGCCGCAAGGATAGTTACATAATCAAAGAAATCTGTGCACTTCACGCCCATACTGATGAAACTGCGCTGGCTACCTGTTGATGCACGTGTTCAGTATAAAGTGCTTGCACTGGCCTATCAGTGTTATCACCAGTCAGCACCTTCCTACCTGTCAGAACTCACACAAGTCTACCACCCATTTAGAGTCCTCCGACCCAACAATATCTCTTCTCTCTTCCAACCCCACGTCTGGGACGATTTGGTCAGAGATTATTTACTTACAATGCCACCACTCTCTGGAATAAACTCCAAGATCATCTTAAAGGACTCCCTACTCTCCAAATGTTCAAAGACAGTCTCAAAACATTTCTCTTCACTCAGTTCTATAGACTCTAATCATTTCCAGTCGCGATCTCTTAACCTGGTGATGTCAGAATCTCTTATGTAGCGCTATGAGCATACACGTTGTGTCAGGATTTGGCGCATTATAAATGTATCCCGGTGTCAGGGGTTTTCGACGATGTAAGACAAAAACGTAATTTTTATCTGTAATAACATTTAAACTTTTTATTTTACTAACCTCGAGTGATAAAGGATATATTCATCTGTTTCACACAAAAATATCAAGTGTTTCCTACAAAAATAGCGTTGATGACATCGTATCGGCGAAACAGTGGCCGCTCGTAACATCCGGGTATTTTGTATGGGTTTTCGACGATGAGCCATACTTTTTGCTCCGCACTGCGAGGGAGTGTTGTGATCACGAGGCTTCCTATTTATATATTGCCTGTCACCAGCAGACGACTGATCTTACTGAATTTGCGCTTGCTATTTTTTGTTATAAAGGCAACTGATTTTGCATCTGAAGTGGTATTATCGATCTCGGGTTAATACTATTGATGTTTGCTTGCTTTTTATATAACTTTACTTCCCGATTTCCATTGTCAATAACACTTCTCACGACAGCGACTGGGCACCCGCCCTACCAGTAAAACTGTTTGTGCACTCCGATCGCACACGTACTCACCCGATATAACGCGAGCAATGCAATCGTCGAAATCACCAGAACGTCGAATTCAGCTCGTGTTGGGATACTTATTATGATTATCATTATTATTATTATTATGTCAGGAAATTAGGTCATCCACAGTGAATGACGTAGTTTACTCTTAAGTTGTAGCTTACTGTTAAGTATGCTTAAATGTGCAACGAGCTATGAATGTTGTAGCATGTGTGGACGTCTATCAGTGGACGTCTATTGGGCGGACGTCTGTGTGTGGACGTCTATGTGTGGACGTCTATGGGTGGACGTCTATTGGGTGGACGTCTATGGGTGGACGTCTATTGGGCTGACGTCTATGTGTAGACGTCTATAGGGCGGACGTCTATGTGCTGACGTCGTAACTTCCATTCTATTATCAGAGAATAATCCATCATTCGGTTTGCTTCGCAGATTAAACCATAAATATATTTGTAGTTTAACTCCGCAGTAAGCAGTACACTTTTGACATGTAAGTAATCACAATCTAGATCAAACAGACCAGTGATTGGCAACAGTCGGTCTGGCACAATGACACATGTTAAGTAGCTCATCTACTGGTTCATCTGTATTAAAGTCAAAGATCGCTGTACGGACTCCCGTGGTTTTGTCGCTTTTACTCCAGGTTGGGGGAAAAGCTATGGCTTTTTTATGCAATTGTTAACATTGTTTATTTCTCTTGAACCATTACTCATCTTTGCATTGCTTGAGCTTGCAGTAACTTGTGGTTGGGGAATTGTGTGTAAAAAATAATTTGGTTCAGAAATGACTGTAGAAATGAATATGGTTAACTCTGTTATCAAGCACTTGCTTAGAACCTACGCCGAAACGTCGCTCTCATAGCAATAAAGAAGTTGTTCATCCATATTTTGTTATTCTTCCTTAAAAACAGTTTGTTAAATACTAATGTTGATCCCGTTGTGTACACATCGTAACAGTTTTGTATGGTATAATTTGTTAAATCCAGTTCCAAGGCATTCGCCATTTACAATGTTATCCTGGTTCCGTAAGCTCCTCAAAAGGTCTCATACATGTGTCACAACAGGCTCATGTATTCCGCTAACTGTTCACAACGACAATGTTCTGTTCGTGTTGATATGTTATTTATATCACACAAAAACCGTAATATGCAAACAGTTTTGCCATACTGTAGGTAAACAAGGCATGTGTTGGTTACAGGCCTACCGTCATTGATACTGGGCCCTGACACTACACGTGACGGGCAACGTGTATGTTTTGTAGTCACACAGGTCAAGACCTGCGTCAAATGCCTTTACATGCATGTAGTCGTTAGGCTAGAAAACATGGCGCCATATCGAGAGCGTGAATAAAGGTTCCTTGAGAGATTTTGTTAAAGCAATATTCCCCGTGTGCTGATTCAGGTTCCCACTTAGATGAGTGGAGAGCGGTCATTAGAAATGATAATTTATTCAACATTATTAAGAAACAGTCATAGAGCTTATAGACCTCTAATTTTTATACCGTCAAATCAGTTGATTAGCCTGTTTCCCGAGTGACCGAGTCAAGTAATACTCTGCAGCGTCAGCTTTGGTGTCCAGGTTTACTTAGGTAAGTCCACATTGCGTCTGAAAAGACCCATACGGATCTTACCCTAAATTTGTTACATCGACAAACCGTAATCAAAGTACTAGTAAAGTTTTAAAACGTTTCAGAACAGATATGTGGAGATCATTATCACATTTGGCTAAATTGATGCAATAAATGCGATTTATCAGCAAAATAACAAACCAACCTTATTTATACATGCGCATTAATCAAGTACCACATACATTTTATGTAAGTACGAAAACACCACAAGTTGTTGCATATGCACTGAAAACGAAGTTCCGGGTATTTATATGTTATTTTACTCTGACTAGAACACAACTAAAACTGAAATTTAACTTAGGGAACAAAAAAACTTTAACAATGGCGGAAAGTATGGTCACCATAATTACACCAAGGAAGTTCTCCAATAATAAATGTTGTGTATGAACCACCAGTGGCGATCACATCGGCACCTGGTGTAGACTACTGGCAATCAAGCGTCGAATTCTCAGCGTCGGAATCCCTGCCATTCATCAGGCAGTGTCTGCGTCAATCCCTGCACATCAGCAGCGCTCTATCTTGAACATGGCGTCTGAGAGAGTGCCTAAGATTTGATGGGGTTCAGTGTTGTTTTGCAAATGTGCAATAACTGGCCGAGAACGGTGAGTTTTAGCGTTGTCATCCATGAATAACAGACGACTGGCAAATGGATGGTTATCACAATGTGGCAGACGACGGTATCCAGTACTTCATTCTGATAACGTGGACCAGGTACTGTAATGCTTGTCTTAAGAGGCAACTAACAGAATCGGGTAGTCAGACTTGCTCACTTGGTTGACATATGTCATCGGTTCCCAATTGCGCAGATTGACGCACATGATGTTGATCAGCAGATCGTCTGGACCAAACTCCATTATTTACAGACCGCCGCCATTTTGCTGGAATATTGCTAAGTGCGGCGTAAAACTAAACTCACCCACTCCCTAGTAAAGAACTTCAAGTAATTGTTCAGGTTTATTCGGGTTTCGAACGCAGACCCTTAAAGTGAGGCACCTAATCGCACAGTGTCTGCGATCAGAGGCACCCGCTCACCCATCGAACCTTCACCACAAAAAATGAAAAAATGTCAGTCTTACATGTGATAGGCGTGATCACCTACTTTGTGTCCCCCCCTGACAAGTGGAAATTGACACGGCACCAATTGATGGGACCTAAGAGTACTGAGGTTTCATCCCCAATATAACATATGCTACATTTGACCACTTCTGTAAGCGCCAGCGGTTGAAGGGATGGTGTAAATCCAGCTAGGGTCCATGCAGGTAGCAATGGCACTGTAAGTCCCCATGGTCCCTAGTGTGGTGATCTACCTTCAGTTGCTGGAGATTTATAGCCCGTTTTTATATTGTTTTATCTTACATAATAGTATGCGTTTTTAGCTAGTTTTATATCTCTTTCTGTGAAGTAGTTTTACTGATCATCGTAAACAGTTTTATTAATTCTAATATTATTGATCTTTACTGATAATTAATAATTGTTCTCGTCACGATATAACAATAATAATAAAAATAATAATAATAATAGAGCCTATTTATAGTGCGCACAAATCCACGCTCGTAAGCATGCTCATGGCGCTACAATTAAAACAATATGTACAGTAAGAGTGAGCGATTTATGAGTCATAGAACTGAATGAAAAGGTGCGTTTTGAGATGGCTTTTAAAAGAGTCCAGAGTTGGTGCGAGCTTCAGGTCAAGGGGTAAAGAGTTCCACAAGACCGCAGCAGTGTGTGAGAAGGATCTGTGAACGAAGGTCTTAAGCTTGTAGGGAGGTACTGTCAGGAGATTCTGCTGTTGTGACCGCAGTTCACGGGCTGGAACATACGGAGTTATGAGTTCAGATATGTAAGGAGGAGACTGACCATGAAGTGATTTATAAGTGAGGCAAAGTATCTTGAACTGTATTCTGTCCCTCACTGGTAACCAGTGCAGTTGTTTAAGCACCGGCGTGATGTGAGTCTGTTTAGAAGAACGGTTTATTATCCGTGCGGCAGTATTTTGGACCTTCTGTAGCTTGTCCAGTAGAAGATCGCTGAGGCCAGAGTGGAGACTGTTGCAGTAGTCCAGTCTACTGAGAATAAGGGATCGGACAAGTGAGTGGGCAAACTCGGTGGTGATGAGAGGACGGATATTGCCAATGGACC